TACCCCTCTCCACGTTGACCCAGCCAATACTGATCGGGTATCAACTGTATACGTTTTGTTAGCTACAGTTTTTTCCCATCTTTATAAGTGCCCACCGCAACTCTCCTTAGTTGTGTCATATATATATATATATATATATATATATATATATACTTCATAAAATATATCTATTGGATGCTTTGGTACACATCATCAGTAATGTTTCTAGCTGAGGTTCATTAGGGGTTTGGGGTCTTTCAACATCATACCCCTCTCCACGTTGACCCAGCCAATACTGATCGGGTATCGACTGTATACGTTTTGTTAGCTACAGTTTTTTCCCATCTTTATAAGTGCCCACCGCAACTCTCCTAGTAGCCGTGTCATATATATATATATATATATATATATATATATATATATATATACTTCATAAAATATATCTATTGGATGCTTTGGTACACATCATCAGTAATGTTTCTAGCTGAGGTTCATTGGGGTTTTGGGGTCTTTCAACATCATACCCCCTCCTCCACGTTGACCCAGCCAATACTGATCGGGTATCGACTGTATACGTTTTGTTAGCTACAGTTTTTCCCATCTTTATAAGTGCCCACCGCAACTCTCCTTAGCCGTGTCATATATATATATATATATATATATATATATATATATATACTTCATAAAATATATCTATTGGATGCTTTGGTACACATCATCAGTAATGTTTCTAGCTGAGGTTCATTAGGGGTTTGGGGGTCTTTCAACATCATACCCCCTCTCCACGTTGACCCAGCCAATACTGATCGGGTATCAACTGTATACGTTTTGTTAGCTACAGTTTTTCCCATCTTTATAAGTGCCCACCGCAACTCTCCTTAGCCGTGTCATATATATATATATATATATATATATATATATATATATAAAATATATCTATTGGATGCTTTGGTACACATCATCAGTAATGTTTCTCGCTGAGGTTCATTAGGGGTTTGGGGTCTTTCAACATCATACCCCCTCTCCACGTTGACCCAGCCAATACTGATCGGGTATCAACTGTATACGTTTTGTTAGCTACAGTTTTTCCCATCTTTATAAGTGCCCACCGCAACTCTCCTTAGCCGTGTCATATATATATATATATATATATATAAATATGTGTGTGTGTGTGTGTGTGTGTGTGTGTGTGTGTGTGTGTGTGTGTGTGTGTGTGTGTGTGTGTATAAGCAAATATATGGATATAGATCCGACAGTATGAAGAAAAATATACTGAAAAAACAAACAAAAATCCTAATATGCGATTATGCTGTTTTAATGTTTAATGTCAACGTCGGACGTTTCGGTTTAATAAAATTAATAATTTAAACAATGCTTTAGTTGTACACACAACTAAAGCTGATCATAATTTCGATTTTGATTCTGTGAAGATTTTAAAATATTTTCATAATAAAAATCTTAGGTGGTTTTATGAAGCAGGCATAAACTCTATCTCACGCTCGGTGAACACTAGACCTGGCTTCTTTAATATTTCCCCTTTTCTAGCAAGATTAATGCTCGACAAACGTACATATAAGTTTTAGATTAAAATAAAATTCTTTTCGTTTTTCATTCAAAATACTCAAATTTTAGGAATACGTTTCCACAACATCGCCCACGTGACGACGACGTGATCATATTTAAACGGAACGCTGATCTTATAAAAGATTTCAGTTATCTGTTTGGATTGGTATTGCTTTTATGTCCATCGTCTTTTTCATGTTGAATTGTATATGGTCTATGTTAATTATGTTTTATGAATATGTCCTGAAGATGGTCTATTAGACCGAAGCGTCCGACGTTGACGTTAAACATTAAAACAGCATAATCGCATATTAGGATTTTTCTTTGTTTTTTCAGTATATTTTCTTCATATATACATATATATATATATATATATATATATTTGACAATAGCTGAAATATACGTCAATTCGGTCCGTAATACCGGAAATCGATCGACAATATCCCAAAGTGTCTAATACTAAAGATCGTTTATCAAGAGCGATAGTTCCCGAATTCGACCGACAATTCTCGAAACCGACCGACAATGCCCGAAACAAATCAGAGATGACCAAACCAATCGATTATGCCTGAAACCAATCGACAATAACCGAAATAGACCGAAAATACCCGAAATCGACCGAAAATACCCGAAATCGACCGAAAATACCCGTAATCGACTGATATGCTCGAAACCAGCTGATATCGTTTTTCAAGCATTTTGAGTGTGAGATTTCGATAATTTTCATAATTACTATAGGAAAAATTATTTTATTCATTTAGCTGTTAGATTTATGGAATTAACACATTAATTCCATTTATATTTTACGCGCGCGCTAGTTTCCTCCCTTCCTTTCACACTCGTGCGTGTGCGCGCGCGGTTTTCACCCCTACCTTCCACTCACAGCTAGACATAGCAGTAACCTCGCTAGCTCCTACTGATGAATTCACAATAGATTTTGAATTTTTTCCCGCGCGTTTTTCGGCGTTTCAAAACGGCCAGCGTTTGCAACGAGTTGCCTCCCGACTTTCGACCTAACCAGATGGGCAACTCATTTATTCCGTGCCCTTAACCCATATGCGAGGCCGGAATATCTTATCTCAACAATGTCGACTTCACACTCTACCAAGACTTCTTCTCGTCTTGAAGCTGCCCGCAGGTCAGACCTTCTCCGTTTTCGACCAGAAGACGTTAGAGACACACGACACGGTCGTGAGCAAAAGTTCGTATTCAACTAATGGCTTATTTTTATCCCTCGTCAGTGAACCAGTAAATACAGACAGGGATATCCTACTGACGAACAACTTGCTAATCGCAGGTCAGACCTTCTCCGTTTTCGACCAGAAGACGTTAGAGACACACGACACAGTCGTCGGCAGAAACTTCGTATTCAACAGGTGACTTACACTTACCCCTCGTCAGTGAACCAGTAAATACAGACAGGGATAGTATTACCTTAGAACAAACCTTTTTCGTCTCCCTGGGCTCGCCGTAGACAACTCCACAAGACCATGACCGAACTCTGAGTCCCTACTTTGAACCTAAAACACAAAATCACATACACTCTCAAATCATTGGACTCTGAACCAGTACCTTAAAAAATATGCATAACCTCACTTACAACGCCAAAAAATCCACAGTGTGTACTCCTTTCTATCTGTGCGCACATACACCTCGTGTCTAACGAGTTTCCTTTTCCCAGAGCCTTATAAAACTTTTTTCCCGCCTTAGCCATCTTGTATTCCTATTTTGGCGCGGAACTTTTCATTAATCTCGTACCACGGGATAAGTTACTTGTTTTTCCTGCATTTAATAAAAATTAAAAAATTACTCCAGTCTTTTTCTGTCATTCTGTGCCGGCTATCTTAATATATTTTATTTTATGCACTTGTTGATTGACCCCTTTCCTCTCACTGTTCATTCACGCATATTTTTATCTTTTTTTACTTTGCTTGTAGACTCGGTAGTTTAGTGTGGTGTCTGGCACAAGGCCACTTTGTAATAAACCAGCACTGCACGCTGCCGGGTCTGCAACAGATTCAGTTCACTATTTACTGTTTAAAGGCTTATTTAATAAAACTGAATTCGCGCATGCTTTCTTTTCTCAGTTACGATTGATTATAAAGATGATGGAGCCATGGTGGGCATTTTCGAGTGATGTCAGTTGTTGTTGAGCGTTTTTGATTCTGCCGTGTGTCCATTTCTTTTCTTTTTTCTTTCTTTCTTTCGTTTTTCTCTAAAAGGTTTCTCTTCCCTTTGTTCATTTTTCGCCTTTCTTTTTTACTTTTTGAATTTGTATCACCCCATGCAAGGCGTTAAAGTCACTAAGGCACAAGGGGTTACTGGGTGCGGAAGAATTAAAAAGAGAAACGTTAATAATGAAAGGGTAGAGAAAAGAGTGATCAGGAGGACAGTAGACAGCGACTGACATTGCATTTAAATTTTTGCTGACAAAAGTTGGCAGGAAAGCATGGAGTCCGAAAAGAGTTCCACAAGCGAGAAGTGTGAATAAAGAAACTGTTAGCATAGAACTTACGGCTACCTCTTGCTAGCTCAACTGTAAATTGATGAGATCTCGACGCCAGTCAAATACTGCGCTTAAGTTCCCAAATTCTAGGTACCATAGCAAAGAGCTCATATGAACAATTACCATGACAGTATTTATAGAAAAGATATAAAGAGGCAATCTTGCGGTGCTGGAAAAGTAACTGAAACTGAGCTGCCAGATCAGGGCTTATAATATCGCAATTCTTCTTTGGATCTTATCCAGGAGCTCTGTGTAAATAGCAGGGACACTAGGCCATATGTCCCAGTAATATTTTAAGTATGGGCGAATAGTAGACATATAGATATGTAGGATAGATTCTAGAGAGAAAAAATTGTCTAGCATGACACTGTGAACCGACTTTCTTAGCTGCTGACCTAGCAATAGATTCAATATAGTCTTTCCACTTCATGTCAGCCGTTAACCGAATAAAGCGCAAAAAGTCACTTTAAAGGAGGTTAGCATCAGCTATGCTGAACTTTTACCCGAGATAACGACGGACATGATGTCATTTTGGGCATCAGCTACCATTTTCACCTTATCGGATTGATCAGCATTACTATCGAGTCAGGATTAAATAGTTGTGTCATCAGCGTAGATGATAAATTGAGAGCTGATATCGTCGGGGAGGTCATTAATGGAAATGAAAGAGTAGGACCAACGATGGAGCTACCTGAGGGACAGCCGAGTTAGTGTGAAATGATCAAGACGAGTGGCCATTCAGGATGACTTTCATTTCACGATGACATGGGAAATATTGGATCAGTTCAAAATGTGTCTAAAGAGACCGTATTTTTGCTTTTATTTTTCTTTCGTTTTTCTATAATACGTCACTCTTTCATTTGTTTTTCTTTGTCTATTTCTTTCTTTTTTTCCGTTCAGATATAAAATTTCTGACTCAGGAAATTCTGTTGCTTTCATTCCTTGACAAGCCATGGCTCACGAGCCTTGTAGTAGATCAGAAATAGTAAATGATTAAGGTGATATCAGTTTTGTGTTTCTTTTTTCGAGGGTATTTACATTTCTTTCTTTGTTTCTTTCTTTTCTTCTTTCTTTCCTTCCTTTTTATTTTCTTCTTTTCTTCTTCCTTTCTTTTTTCTTTCTTTCTTTTTTCTTTCATTCTTTCTTTCATTCTTTCTTTCTTTCTTTTTTTTTTTTTTTCATGCGTTTTCTCGAGCAGGGTACTCTTTTCTTTCCTTTTTTTCTAAAAATGGTAAATTATCAATTTTTTCCTTTCTTTTCTTCTTTCTTTCCTTCCTTTTTATTTTCTTCTTTCTTTCTTTCTTTCTTTCTTTCTTTCATTCCTTCTTTCATTTCTTCTTTCTGTCCTTCCTTTTTTTCTTTTCTTCTTTCTTTCTTTCTTTCTTTCATGCGTTCTCTCGAGCATGGTCCTCTTACCTTTCCTTTATTGCTCGAAAGATAAATTATCAATTTTTTCTTTCTTTCTTTCTTTCTTTCTTTCTTTCTTTCTTTCTTTTTCTTTTTTCTTTCTTTTCTTTTTCTTTTTTTTTTCTTTCTTTTTTTCTTTCTTTCATGCATTTTCTCAAGCAGTGTCCTCTTTCCTTTCCTTTTTTTCTTAAGAAGTTAAATTATCAATTTTTTTCTTTCCTTTCTTCCTTTTTATTTTCTTCTTTCATTCTTTCTTTCTTTCTTTCTATCTTTCTTTCTTTCTTTCTTTCTTTCTTTCATGCGTTCTCTCGTGTATGGCCCCATTTCCTTTCCTTTTTTCTTAAGATTGTAAATTACCAACATTTTCTTTCTTTTCTTCCTTCTTTTCTTTCTTCTTTCTTTCCTTCTTTCTTTTCTTCTTCTTTCTTTTTCTTTCTTTCTTTCTTTTTTTCTTTCTTTCTTTCAGGCCTTCTCTCGAGCATGGTCCTCTTTCCATTTCTTTTTTTTTTTTGAGAATTTACTTTCTTCCTTTCATTCTTTCTTTCTTTTTCACTAACCATGAAATCCTGCACTTAACATAAAATTCGAAGCACTTAACATAACTCAGATTAAACACTTCAGCCCACTACATCCCAATTCCCTGACCCCCAGGCTGATCATTCACCCTGACCAACTTATCTTCATCCATTTCTCTTGTCAGAGCTCATCAAGAGGAACAAAATCCACTTCTAACCTATCCTGCTACCTAACAACACAATCAGAAAGTAACTGTTTTCTTCCCGGGAGGTGAAAAGGAGTAGACAATGTTAACTTAGACGTTTCTTACTAAGTCGATTCAGAAATAGGAAGATGGATAGATTGATGGACAATCGGATGATGTCCCCGAGGTTCAAAACAGGCAAGATTCCATTTAAGGCCACTTGTGGATATTAAAGTGTCGCTTTATTGTTCTTTTCCCCATCGACATGTCTTTCTCTTCTGGCCACGAATTGTGAAAGTAATCCGATATTCACAGAGCTAGAATAACGAAAAGGAACAAAGGATGATTGCCTGACAAGATTTCTTGCTTACTTTCCATTGTTGACGTGTGTCAAGATTCAGTAAACACAAACAAATCCACTACAGACAGAAAAGGTGTAGATACATACAGAAAATTAACAGAGCATATGTGCCCACAGGAAATGAGGAAGGTGAGAGATTGAAGAAAAGATAGCTCATTTATAAATACAGATGGGTTTAATATAGGAAGGTTTAAAACTGAAATTTTCTCGGTAAATTTGTCGGAGTTAGCTGCTTCTTAATTCTCTAATTGTCACTAGGGGTCATTCTATAAATACTGGGCGACTTCGCGCCTCGTTCTCTTTTTCATTTCTTCATTTCAGCGACTACAATGTAAGCTATCTTAGAAGATCCGCGTCTTCCCATTTGTGGGAGACGTCATGAACATTATACACACATACACGTACGAACAAACATTCACTAAAGAACAGACACAAATGTTCACACACACACACACACACACACACACACACAAATGTTATTGTCTATGTCCATTGTAAAATTATGTGGTTTAATGCATATATTTATTTATATATATAAAGTCATCCACATACAGACTGTTTCGCTGTTTCACGGCTCTTCAGTGTGACTAGACATCCGATTTTTAGCGTATTCATTTTTAGATAAACACACACGGTGACCGACAGTGACCCAATTCGCTTTTGCCGAAGAGTCTCGCTATATCAGCCATAATAGTCACAGATTACAAACCCACACCTCTTCTCCAGAGAGCTCAACTGAAATTGTTTTTTCAGGAGGCAATATAAAGTCATCCACAGTAGTTGGAACTCCTTCTAGCAGGAAATAAACAGCAGGTCTAGTTCAGCAACACGCAAACCCAGACGGTTCTCTACAAGTCAAAATCATGTTGCAATAACCGAATATTTGAATTTTGTGGGAAGTTTGAAAATACAGCAATGAAGAAATCTCTGAGGAAAGAATATGTAGAAAAACATGATCATTTCCAGTCTCAAATTCATTCTTCTTCGTCAAACTGATAGTCTAAGATAGATAGATAGATAGATAGATAGATAGATATGAATACTCTGTACGCTATTTACATTATTCGGACTATTGTCCTCATTTCTGTTACCATATTTATTACAAAGTTCTCGGCAGAAATTGGAGAGGTGAATTAACAGGAGATAACTGATAACTGACAACCATTACACATGGCACGTGGAACTAGAACAGTTAGACAACATTCCAACTACCTGAAGAAAGCCGGAGCGTGCAACGGCCGAAACGTTGTGATAAATTTGGCAACAAAGATGAGGACAATATTCAGAATAATGTAAATAGTGTACATAATACTTCATATAGACAGGTAATGAATACTCTGATAGATAGACACAAATAGTCTAGGATAGATAGATAGATAGATAGATAGATATCAAACACGGAACCAATATGGATCGGAATCCCACAGAATTATAGATTAAAGAACAAATTTTGACGTTTATCAAACTAATATGCATCATTTTTATGAAAGCATTATCTGTGAATGAGATATGGAGAAAAAGAAGAAAGAAATTCTGTTATTTTTTTGCTTTTACGTTCTTTGATTTTCATTGACCAGTCATGTTTCACATGCATTCAACTTGTTAAATCAACGTTAGTATAATTTGTGGTGTCCAAAATTCAAGAAGAGATGACGTATCCATCCGAAGTTCCAACAAATTAATGGATTCCATATATATATATATATATATATATATATATATATATATAATGTGTGTGTATATATATATATATATATATATATAATATTATTGGTAAATATACATACATATGCAAAATATATAAATACCCATACATGTATATTTTTTGAATAAAAATTCCCAGAGGAAGAATCCAGGTGGAACTCAATGTCCAGGACAGAGTAAGGATATAACAAAAAGCCTTAAACACTAATATTCCATGGTCATAATTTATTCCATTGGAATCGTAGATACGATCCAATTCATCAGACCTACAAATTCAAAAAGAAAACAAAAAACAACTCCGGAAATAGAATTTAGAGAGACTGCAAGTATGAGGAGGAGGGAGATCAAACCTTAACAGAGAGAATTTTAGGAGAGGTGGGTGGAAGGGGTTTAAGTAAGAGAATAATGAATGTTGTCGGATGTCTAATACATAAAGATACATTTTGTGGTGACATACACACACCATAGACAATCTAATTTAAGAATAAGAGGGAGGGAAAGACGAGGTGGAGGAGAGAGATGGGACGAAGGAAAGTAAAATTGCGTTTACTTAAAGGGCCGCTTTGTAATTGAGAAAATTTGACAAATTTAATATCGACTACAGGTTACAAATCAAATATAAACATATAAAAAATAAATATAACGATTATCTAATCCAGCAAGGACCTATATTTCTATGTTCAAAAACACATGCGAATACACACATACACAATAACATATACACGTATATACATACACATAGGCGTGTACCCACATACACACATACATATACCCATGTACACACATATAAAAATATAAAAATATATTCACATATCCACACATACACATATTCATCTATATCCATATACACACACTTTTAAACATACATATACATACATACACATGCACACATGCATATATCCATATATATACATATATATATATATACACACACATACACATACATATACATGTATATGTGTGTATGCACACATACACAACCATACACACACACACATACATATATATATATATATATATATATATATATATACACACATATATATATATATATACACACCCTTACATACACACACACACACACACATACACATATATATATATATATATATATATATATATATATATATATATATATATATATATATACATTTACCGGATACCAGGTGTATCCGCAAAATTGTCCAAATCGTGCAACAGGTAAAATTGTCTAACTGGTAGATTAAGGTTTGAAATGTTGTATGCTAGAAATGATTAAAAATATCTTACTGGAATTCTCCGAGGTTTTTATAAAACTATTGGAATCTATTTTGAACAATGAGAATGTATGTAGCTGAGTTGAAATGATGATCCCTCTTTCTGTTGTGACCTCCTGATCCAGTTTTCCTCCTGCTTTCTCTTAATGGTTCTTGAATGGATTTTGAAGATGGATGAAACCAGAGAATGACTGTTGGTACAATTAATGAAGAACCGAACGATCATTTTCCTCTCACCATTGCTCATTAGAGAAGACATACTAGGTCTGACACAAAACAATTTTAACCTGTTCTCTTTCTAGCTGAATAATTCAACGGTTTTTTTTTTCAGTGATTCTTACGACAAATGCTGTCAGAATAGCTAATCGACTTATCTGAAAATGTGGGAAAATCTCACTTGGTTTAGTGGTATTTTAAATATTACACAATTTGTGAAAGGAACAAATATTTCATCCTTTTTACACGATTTGGACAATTTTGCTGTTACACCCGGTATATAACTGTTACTATAGCGGTCACTCGTATTTGAAATAGACGACCTATTTTTATTTTAAACAATATGTATTACGGCTATCAGCTTGCGCATTCAAGGCAGTGGAGAAGCAAAACGGCGTGCCCGGGACCTCTAATGCATGTCGATCTAACCATAGTTTCACCTGCCTAAAGGGACGCAGGTTCGAACCCCGCCGGAGTGCGCATATTTTCTTAAATAAGATTTCTCGAATATTCCTGTCGGTAGAGAAAATGAATAAATATACTGCGTAATAAAAATAAACAATGCTGAAATATGTTTATCCACTAAAAATATCGTTAAAGTGATAAAATCTGTCACATTAATAAATAAAATATCCACTACTTCTTTAGGAAGATATATATATATATATATATATATATATATATATATATATATTGTGTATTTAGGCAGCAATCGTTCTTTCATGCACATTTCATTGAATATGACAATACATATATATATATATATATATATATATATATATATATATATATATATATATATATATATATCAATCATTGAAAATGCATTTTTATTTAGTTTTTTTATACAATTTCTCATGCGATCTAATCATTTTTTTCTTTTCAGATGATAAATTATATAAAACTGTCCGAATGTTCTTTTTATATTAAATTTAATTTAAGTGCCAATTAAGGAATTGTATTCGTAATCAATCAAAATTCGTAAATAATTATATAGGCCACACTACAACATGTTTGACACTCAGACTCACTCTACATCTTTCTGACCATAGCTCAATTAGATCTCATTTAAATATTCAGACCTACCGGAAACTGTTCGTAACATACTTGTTGACAACACAAATATAATAGCATCATCTACATGAAAAAATGGCAAAAAATAAAACTTTGAACGTCTTATAAAACATACATACAACAAACTATTTCTTATTTAACGGTTAAAATATTTAATCCTTGTAAAATGGCTAAACGTATAGCCGAAAGCGCTCGGCTAAAAAGAATATTTGGACAGTTTTCGTATAATTTATCATTCGAAAAGAAAAAAAAATAGATCGCATGAGAAATTGTACAAAAAGCTAAATAAAAGCACTTTCAATGATATATATATATATATATATATATATAATTTTTGACGGACCTCATCAAGTCTACGTAAAGTTAACGAAGTGAGGAAGTGAGGTGGGAGAGAGGATATGAGTGTGTCATATGTATCATTTTAGTTTCCTATTTTAACCCCAGTGTGTCGGCTAGATGTTGCTCAAATTTAACGCGTCTCGTCTCTAGATATAGATGGCTAAGGGGTAAAAAACGTATGAATTTCTTTTCATTTTTCCTTTCAGCTTTTGGAAGTAAAGTCTGATGATCCAGAACCCTGTTAAAGGGGTTATGGTGAAATAGCTTATTACATGGAATCTTAACGTGGTCTGTCTTTTATTCAAATATATATATATATATATATATATATATATATATATATATAAAGTTGATTTGCATTATATTTTTTATCTCGGATACTACCTGAATTTTACGAAAAACAAAATAGTTTCGATGCCTGATGATGACTGGGGAACCGTCGAAAGTTCTTGCATATTGAAAGAAGACCTAATACGGTTAATAATTAGAAAAACAAACAAGGATCATAACATCGAGTGTTTGGTTGGTTGATGCATCTTTAAAATTTAGTTAGCGAAGGGATTTCCCCATTTTATATCATTAACTTTACTAATTTAATATTTGTATTAATGATTCATTGTCATATAAATTAAACTGCACAACATATTTGATACACACACACACACACACACACACACACACACACACACACACATATATATATATATATGTGTGTGTGTGTGTATGTATATATATATATATATATATGTAAAGACTTCATGGTTTGAATATCTCCCGCGATGGAAGGATTGACAAAATATTAATGTTCTTGTTCACCATATTTAGAGGTGTTTACAGGCATTACTTGAACTGTGCTAAGTGATGTCAATCATTTCGCGTAACAGACGACTGGCTGCTAACAATGGAGTTTCACGCATGCGCAAACCATTTTTCACTTGCGATCAAGCTAACTCCTTTCTCCCTTGATATTTCATGCTTGCTATCGCCTTTACCGGCAAAGTTTTCAATTATTTTCTTTTTTCATTCTCTAGACCCTCTTCACTATCTAGTCTGTTATGCCTCATTAAATATTATAACATTTCTTTCTACGTGTATTCATTGCTTTCATACCTTAACTCTGCGTTGCTGGAAATACGGCTTCTAACGAAGGGGATTATGGGAAAATATCGTTTCACCTTAATTCGGGTTTGTTATTTTGTGTTTGGTAGAAGAGTAGGCATTATGCGATCGGTGGAACATTAACAGTTTTTAATTCAAAATGGATGAATTAAAATGACATTTGTAAATAAGTGAGACTGAAAGAGCAATATTATCTCTTTTACTGATTTCTGTTTCATTTCTTTCAGTAAAAGATTCCTTTTAGAGAAGTTTCGACCATTTTTCATCTTTTCTTCACGTCTTATTTCCTTCGGATTTATCTTCACTTCCATTTCTCTTTCTTTCTCATTTGCCTTTCTTCCATTAAATTCCATTTTGCTTACTTCTACCTTCTTTTTATTTATTCAAAACCTTTTAAAATTTAACTTCAATTCCTGCATTATTTTCTTTGTTCTCTTTCTTTCTTGCTTTCTTTCTTGTTTTCTTTCTATTTCTTTCTTGCTTTCTTTCTTGCTTTCTTTCTTTTTCTCGCCTTCCTTTGCCGATTTATTTTTTCTTTATATCAATCTTAAACTGTTTACTGTGCAATTGTTTGTTTGTTTGTTTCTCTCTTTCTTTCTTTCTTTCTTTCTTTCTTTCTTTCTTTCTTTCTTCGCCGTTATTATTTATTTCTATAAATTTTAAATGATTTACTGCTATTTATGTTCTTTCCTTTTACTTTTCTTCCTTCCTTCCTTACTTTTTTCTTTCTTTTTTCTTTCTTTCTTTTTTCTTTCTTTCTTTCTTTCTTTCTTTCTTTCTTTCTTTTCCTAGCCTTCCTTCTTTTCTTTATTTTTTCTTCCTATCAATTCTAAGTTAATTCTTTCTTTCTTTTTTCTTTCTTTCTTTTTTATCTTCCATCTTTCTTTCTTCCTTTCTTTCTTTATTTTTCTTCCTATCAATTTTAAGTTATTTAATTCTTTCTTTCTTTCTTTCTTTCTTTCTTTCTTTCTTTCTTTCTTTCCCCCACTTGTTTGTTTGTTTAGTTTTATCTTTCTATCAATGTTAAATTCTTTACCTCACCTTCATTAGCCTCTTTCAATATTTTTCTTATTTTTCTCTGAAATTGGGCACATCACTTTTCATTCTTTCTTAAATTATTTTCTTCTCCTTACTTTGCTTTTTTTCTTTCTTTCTTCATTTTTTTTTTAACTTTCCCATGTTTCTTTCTTTTTTTTTCTTTATTTTGTATTGATACCTCGCCTTTCCTTCTTATCTGATATATATATATATATATATATATATATATATATATATAGATATATATATGTGTGTGTGTGTGTGTGTGTGTGTGTGTATTACCAATTTGTGATGGGTAGGGATAATTCCAAGGAGGATATCAATTAAGGGAGAGCTCAATGTAGATTAAAAATAATAATAATAATAATAATAATAATAATAATCAAGAAGAAAACCTTAAAGATTGATTTTGGTTATAATTTATTTCATGAATATATATGCACCTCTTCAAATCTCTTATTAAAGAGATTTAAATTTGATAAGAGATTTCGATCTAAAGAGATGAATATATCTATCTTACTTATTATAAAACGCAGATTGTGTGTGTGTGTGTGTGTGTGTGTGTGTGTGTGTGTGTGTAACGTTTATATATTGGATCGGATTTCCTACATTTTTCAACCGATTTCAACAAAACTTCACAGGACTACATAAAATTACCTTGTGGTAGTTCTAACAGCGCCAAAAATGGGAAAAATATAATTGTTTTTGCACAAATCAATTTGAAAACACGATTAAGAGACATCGTGAAAATGGAAGGGGGACAACTCATATCGAGTTGTTTGCATGTGTGGGTTCCTTTAAATATGGGAGCGGATTTCCTATATTTTTTAGCCGATAAAACAAAACTTTTTTTTTTTGGCAGGTAGTGTTTCTTATTGTCTTGCACACTTTTTTCTTTATTTTTAACATTCAGAATGCTTTAAAAATTCCATTTACAAGACAATTGTTTATAATAAAATTCTATTCAATCAGTAGACATAACGATTGAAAACAATGTTTTTGTTTGAGTTTGGGTTTGACCAATTCGTAAAAAATAAAAAAAAATAAAAAACTAATTAAGACATGCGTGTCCGTCAACCTTAAACAATAATCTAACGATCTCTACTGATTGTACGAATACAAACATCGGATAAATTCTTTATCTTTAGGGAAAGATAATGAACATACACAAGTCCTAACTAAAAATAATAACCGGAACGGGAAACTACTTTAAATACACATGGTGTCCAATTTTTTTACTGTATTCAATAAGTAAAAATCATAAATTGTAAAAGATTATTATTACAGAAAGGCTACTAAATGAATAAGACTTGTTAGATCATAATTAATAAACCCAAATAAAGTTAATATTTTTTGTATTAGAAACAACGAGTGGAAAATATATTCAAATCAGAATTCTAATTATGAATCACCACAAGCAAAATATGCAATTTTTATTACTGTATTCAATAAGTAAAAATCATAAATTGTAAAACTAAAAGATTACAGAAAGGCTACCTACATTTTTCAACCGATTTCAACAAAACTTCACTTTTTTTGGCATGTAGGGTTTCTTATAGTCTTGCACACTTTTCTTTATTTTTACATTCAGAATGCTTTAAAAATTCCATTTACAAGACAATTATTTATAATAAAATTCTATTCAATCGGTAGAACTCATAACGATTGAAAACAATGTTTTTGTTTGAGTTTGACCAATTCGTAAAAAAATTAAAAAAAAAAAAATCTAATTAAGATATGCGTGTCCGTCAACCTTAAACAATAATCTTCAATTTTATTTTTCAGTCTTTATGATGGTGGATACTTGATCTATCTCTTACTGTTATATCCCGAAGGCAATGAATCTTTAAGTTTCTTTCGCCATTCATCATTAATTCTCTCTCCCTCTCTCTCTCTCTCTCTCTCTCTCTCTCTCTCTATATATATATATATATATATATATATATATATATATATATATGTATGGCTCTACTACTATATATATATATATACTAATTCCGTTTCCTTTGATACGACTGCACATGCGCACGAACAAGACACACTGAAAATTTTCAGTTTCATTTTTTTTTATGTTTTAAATAGATTATATACCCAAAACACATTTAAAAAATACATTTAAATTTCAAAGTTTAACTACAATTAAAGCTCCATCAATGTGAAGTATAAAACTGAAATATGATATATTGATAAACGCACATTATTTGTTCTTTATCTTAACAGTGTGTCGGATTCCGATCCATATCTTATTTGTATTTGAGCCCAGCACTCACACACAGACACATATTATTATTATGATTATGATTATTATTATAATTTTTATTATTGTTATTATTATTGTTTTATTTCCTTTGATTTTTGGAGTGTACACATTTCTTTCCGGGTCTCGACCTGAGACCTAAGGTATCATGACATTTTACACTGACCAATTAAAAAACAAACAAAAAAACAAAAAAACACATATTTTACAAAGATAAAGCCCTTCGTAAGGTGTGGGCTGTACTCTCGAGAACAGTCTTTTTTATTTCTTTAAGGCATAGGTTACCAGGAATCCCTTCATTTAATCTATTGGAATCTTTTCCAACCAATCCGAGAGCTCCAACTAAAATATTTCCATGTGTAATATTTTTAAGATTTCAAAATCCTTGTATTTTGATAGCTCACAGACTGCAGGGACTGCTATGTCAATAAGAATGCAGATTCTCTTTTTGTGGTCTCTGAAAACGAGGTCTAGATGATTTGGATTCATTGTTCTGTCAGTGTGTATTGTGTAGTCCCATAGAATTGTAACAGGTCCTATCTCCGTGAACGGGTCTGTGTAGTGTTCATACCAGTTTCTTTCAGTTTCCTTCGCGTAGAAGTTGCAGATTTTCCAGTGCAGATATTGGCCCACTCTGTCATGTCGGGTTTTATATCCAGTGGGTGCCAATATCGTGCAACCTGATACAAGATAATCAATTGTTTCTGGATGTTTATCACAGAATCTGCATTTTGCGCTAACACAATATTTTAGTATCTTTTGTTAAGAATTTCACCTCAAGCGCGACGGGAGCGTCATTAGCACGCAAAGGGTTACAAAGAGTGAGAGCAAGAGTAAAGATTAAGGAAAAGATAAAGAGAAGGACGAGGAATTAGATCAAGGCATTTAGAGATGTCAATTGACATTGCATTTGAATATTATAGCCACAGACGGAAAGGTCGAGACATGAAGCTACTGAAGCAGAACAGACAGCTACATTTAACCGTTTCGACATTGAAAGGGTGGGGTTGTGATGACAACCTAGCGGTAGGTTTAGATTCATGGAGTCTGGGAACTTTTTGAAACCAACGACCAGATTTGCTATTGAGACAGGAGTAAATGGTAGTGTCATCAGCATAAATGCCTACTTGGGAACTGATGACAACAGGAAGGTCGTTAATGAAGATCAGAAACAGTGTAGGACCCAGAATAGAGCCTTGGGGAACACTTGTGTTCGTGAGAAAGGAACTGGAGGAGAATCCGTTCATTACGCGGTTTGACAGGAATGATTGTATTAAGTCAAATAATCGTCCTGAAATTCCGTATCCCTAAAGCTTACGAAGATAGCCGTCATGCCAAACTCTATCAAACGCTTTAGAGATATCTAGAGCCACCTCGATCTTCTCCATTATTGTGAAGGGCTTGGTAAACAAATTCAGTTATGGCCGTGAGCACATTAGCGGTAGATAGGGCGAAGCGGAAACCATATTGCTTATCTGTGAGCGGATCATGGGATATAAGGTGCTTGACCTCTTCGGCGTTGATTAAAGCTTCGAAGACTTTGCCAAAGGAGGGTAGTTAGCTTGGTCAGAAGGGCATTCAGAGTTCTTAAAGATAGGTACAGTAGATGAGGACATCCAACAGACTGGAAAGCAAGATTCGTTGAGGCAGTAGTTGTAGTAGTTTCTAGAAGACAGGAGCCAGTTCAGGAGCACATTTCTTCAGGACGATGCCTGGTATCCCGTCCCCACCACTAGCCTTATGGGAGTCTAATTTAGAGATGGTGCCCAATACCATCGATGGGGTTATATGCAACTCGCTCAACAGAGCCCCAGTTCTTGAGGCAAAATCGGGTTTCGGGTACAACGGATGAGTCGAGAATGAGAATTTCCGAGCAAACATTCAGCCTTATCAGCCGAGGAATTCATGATCTCAAATTGATTGAATAATTGAGGTATTGCGGACTTGCTGTTATTCAGTAGGCTCTTGCAGAGACGCTAATAAACTTTGGAACCGAATTTGCGAGATGCAATATGTTGTTTCATTCTTTCAACAAATAGTGACATTGCTTCATTAAGGACACGCTTGCACTCATAACGGTCTGAGACAAAGAGACGTCTGTTGCAATCTGACATGTTGCTACGTTTTCAGACGGAAGAAGTGTTTCCTATGGACAATAGCAGCTGAGCAAGCAGCTGAGAACCAAGGGGAGGAACACGATTTAACTTTATATTTAGTAAGTGTGCTTGATAATTTCTAGTTGACATGCATTAGTCATGTGCAGCAAGGTTTGGTTTGTTTTGTTTTACGGCATATCAACCTCAATGGGTCATTTAATGCCGATAACTTTTCCTGGTAAAATTTTTATTTCGTCAAAAATCTATTTCTGTTAATATTTTTTTCCTCAAAAATGTATAGCTGGTAATATTTTTTCAAAAACGTATTGCTGGCAATAGTTTTTTCTTTTCAAAAACGTAATGCTGGTAAATTTTTTTCTTCAAAAACGTATAGCTGGTAATATTTTGTAATGCTTTTTACCTCAGTTTCGGGGTTAACTAGTGGCCCATAGCAGGGACCTTAACAGACGCTACCACCTCGGGTCAGGGTGGTCCTGGGAACATCAGCAGTTAAGAGGTGGTTCCACGCTCCTCAAACCAACCTGATCAGAGGCCTTGCCATAAGACGTAGTTTATAATATTACCCAGGACGTGGATGTAATTTATCGTCATACCCTGGACAGGGATGTAGTTTATTGTCATACCCAGGACGTGGATGTAGTCGCAGTTTCGGGGTTAACTATTTTACCATAGCTGGGACCCTGACAGGTGCTACCACTCCGGGTAAGGGTGGACCTGGGAAAACCAACAATTAAGAGGTGGTTCCACGCTCCTCAAAACCTCCTGATCAGGGGCCTTGTTGTTGGAAGTAGTTTATCGTCTTACCCAGAACGTAGATGCAGTTTATCGTCTTAACTAGGACGTTGATGCAGTTTATCGTTATACCCAATACGACGTGAAGCAAGGATAAAACCTTCAGTTTCAGCTTTTAACCCTGCACTACGTAGCCATTGATGGTTACGGATTTTGTCTACATCAGTTTGTTTAGTACGGGCAGAGTATTGGCCATGAAGCGGTTTATCTTGCCATTGTTTCTGGTTCTGGTCGGTTGCCTTTGTTTTATTATTATTATTACTATTATTATTATTATCATCATCATCATTATTATTATTATTATTATTATTATTATTATTATTAAAGACAACAGACATTTTAGATCGATTAATTTTATTGATTGACTTTTCCAAATTACGAATAATTCTTCTCAGATAACGAGGGAATTCTGTCAGAAAATTGTCCAATGTTCATTTTGGAAGAAATATGCTCCGAGCTTTCGACTTTGTGAAGTCATCATCAGTGTAAGTAGATGGTTGTTATCTTTAACAATATTTGCCTTACAGATCATTTGCTGCCTAAATACATACATATATATATATATATATATATATATATATATATATATATATATATATATATATATTTGGTTGGATTGATGTGAGTTTGTGACCCTGGGTTTCACGCTTTTGTGATCGTCAGACAAACTGATTAATTTTTAAAATTTTGGGGGGTTTATGTAGATTGTGTGTATTGGTGTTATTATGGAAGTGGGGGGAATCGTCGTCGTGATGTCACTCCTGCTAACGCAAACATAGATGCATGTTCATACGCCCTATGAGGTACGCAGACACACATACACACTTGCTTGTCCACCGGGACTCATACAGATATAAACATATGTGGACAGTTTCGGATTTGACATATGTATGTATATGGGTGGTGTTGTGTCTATACATACGCATTTGTATTTTGAAATTCAAAAATTGGAAGTGTAGCAAACTTTGCCACCCACTATACGGATATAACAGATGAATAAAGGAATATTATTATGTATGCAAAAAAAATCAGTACTTATACATAAAGGTGAGGAATGGATTAAGAATTCTTACGACCAATTTGACATCACAATGGGATCACTAGACTCAGCTGAGTCTTCTGATCTCATTGGCCTTTTTATATTATATAACCTTACAGCGCACTATGATATTAATACAAATGATATTGGTTTGTACAGAGACCATGGGCTTATGGTTATTAGAAACTCAACGAACTTCAAAATAGATAGAATTAGAAAGTTATTATATAAAGAATTTAAAAGCATGGGCTTAAAAATTACGGATAGTACTAAATTAAAAAAGTAGACTTCCTAGATATAACATTAGATCTAAATAAAAATACATACACACCTTATAAAAAACCCAACACCAATCCTTTATATATTCACCCTAAATCAAATCACCCCCATCTATAATTAAACATATACCGTTATCTATCAGTAAACGAATTAGTACAAATTCAGCAAATAACAAGATTTTCGATGAGCATATCAATTCCTATAATAAAGCTCATAAAGAGAGTGGCTACAAAAACCCAAAACTAACTTCTATAAAAAATGAAAATGGAAAGCATAGAAAAAACAGATGTAGAAAGATTATTTGGTATACTCCCCTATATAATCAAATGGTAAAGAACAAATTAGGACATAAATTCCTCGCATTAATAGTCAAGCATTTTCCTAGTGAAAGTAAACTAAGTACTATTTTCAATAAAAACACACTAAAATTGAGTTATAGCTGTACAAAAAACTTAGAAAAAATCATTAAAAACCATAATGCTAATATCTTAAATAAACACTTATAACAAAACCAAAAAAGTTTAGACAATGGAAAAATTAAGATAAAAACTGATGGAAATAAACAAAAACTATGTAACTGTAGAAACCCTCAAAATTGCCCACTACAAAATAAATGTCGCACTGAATCATTAGTATACCAATGCAATATCTCTTCGATTGAAAATCCTGATAACATAAAAATATATATAGGTTGCACTAGCCATGAATTCAAAAAAAAAAAACCAACATCAAACTTCATTTAGAAAAAATAGATATAAAAATCAGACATCTCACTCAAAATATTTCTGGCATCTAACAGAATCAAATAAAACACCTACAGTAAAATGGAAGTCAATAAGAAAAGCTAAAATTTGTAGGTCATTAAACGACCCTTGTCCTCTATGCATACACGAGAAACTATATATTACTAAGTTTATAAAAAATAAAAATTTACTGAATCAGAGAAATGAAATAGCTATTATATGCCGTCATTGTCAAAAATTTTCCTTAAATAATATTTAAGAAAAAAAAAAGGAAAAAGTCTATTGGAATAACAGTGAAAATATTTTAAACTTGTATTTAAAATTTTAAAATTTAAAATTGTAGTTAAAACGAATTCAAACCTAAGCATTTTTAAAAATTGTAGTTAAATAAAATGTATGCTAACTGAAACACCTCTATAATAAATGTACTACAGGCACTTAAATGAATCCAATAAAACACCTACTGAAAAATGAAATTATAACAAAAGCTAGAGGATGTAGGGTAGTGTACGACCCATGTTCTTTGTACATACATATGAAACTTTATTACTTAGGTTATATATATTTAAAATAAATAAATTAATTAATTAATAAATAAAGTTTACTAAATCTGAGAAATGACTTAGCTAGTTTTGTAGTAAGTGCCATAAATATTACTTAAATAATATTTAATTATAAAAGTTTAAAAATCGTAATTTACATATACTTTGATATGGAAAAATAATTTTACTTACTATAAGTAATTTTCCTTCTGTTATAAAGTAATATAGTCTATTAAAACTAACAATGAAAATATTTAAAAAATTTAAAGTTGTAATTTTAAAATTGTAATTAAAATTGTAGTTAAATAAAATGAATTCTAACCTAAACTTCTTTTAATTAGTACTACACGCACTTAAAAGAATCCAATAAAAACACCTATAGTAAAATAAAATTAATATGAAATACCATAAGATGTAAGATTTTGAATGACCCATGTCCTTTGTACTTACATGAGAAACAATATATTACTAGGTTTATATATAAAGTAAAAAGTTTACTAAATCAGTGAAATTAAGTAACCATTTTTGCCGTCATAGTCATAAATTTTTCATAAAAAAAAAAAGTAACCTCATATACATAATTAAAACTTGATGTTAGAATAATCCTACATAATATAGTGGATTCTAATACATTTAACTGTTCTTAAAAAGAATATAGTAAAATAAAAATTAAAAATGAGAATATTTCAAATCGTAGTTAAATAAAAAGTATTATGATCTGAACACCCCCGAAAATCTTTAAATTTATAAATGAAAAAAAAAAAATGCCGTAAGAATTTTTTTACCGTTAACAATAATTTTAAAAAAAAATCCAGACGACATGCATTCAATGGATGTCAATTTTCATTGAAAAATACATCCCTACCCCTTACCAAATTGTAGCTAATAACTGATACAATGATACTGTCATAATGAAAACCTAGACATCCCTTGTCCAATTGAAGTAGAATATTCTGTAACCATGGAAACGTGATTTTAGCTGTGTCTTTAAAACCCAGTAATTTTTTAAAAGTTACTCCATAATTCGCTTGAGGATGAAATGGAACTAATGCTTTTAATTTAATTGCAAAATTAAATTCGGGGCTTTTAGCTTCTATTTTTGAAACATGGTTAGAACTGTGTAGCGGAAAAACATATTTTAAATCAATTAATTTATAATATATATATATATATATATATATATATATGTTATTCCAAGATGATTTTTTTCAACTTATTCAAAATGATCTTTGCTCTCTTTAACCTTCTAACTTTCTGTCCTGTAGTAACAAGCTGCCTCTCAGGTTTCACGTACGATTTTCTTTTTCAAGTCTTTTTCTATTTGGATTGTCATAGCTGAAACTTCTCTCTCACTTGCCAAATATCTTATGAATTTAGTTGGATCTTTTCTAATTAATCTCATTAGCTCTAAGTTGAAATGATCCCTCTTCTCGTTGTGACCTCCTGATCCAGTTTTCCTCTATAATGTT